TTTTTTTTTTTTTTTTGAATTTAAAGCTTTGTTTCAACCTTTATAACTTTTTACATTTTCATTTTGAAAAAAAATTTTTTAAGTCAAAACAAATTTTTGAATTTTTTAATTGTTCTTAGCTTAAAATGTTCAAAAATTTTTATTCATTTAAAAAAATTGTTTTGAAGAAATTAGCAGCAAACCAAATATAACGCTGTAAACATATTTTGATGAACACTTAAAGTGGTAAAAAGAAGAGCGATAGTTTGCGATAGTTTGAAATCTTTAAGAAGTTACCCATCTAGATGATATCTTCACTAATTTACTGAGCGTTAAAAACAGAAAAAATTTTGTAGAAATTGTGATCTAAAGAAAAGATTATCAAAAACAAAGCACATCATTTTGCGAATAGACAGCTTTTGCGATATCTTTTTTGATTCTGGCCTTTATAGTTTTTTTATCAATCTACAACGATACAGATCTTAAATACCCACATCTTTACGTCAATAATAGTTTAGCAAATATGATCATAATTCTGCCCTTGCTTTTTGCTATGGATCAATAAGCAATGCATAAATTTTTGAAACAAAAATTTTCTTTATTTGATGGCAACAATTCAAAATGCTGAATATACAGTCTGTCTTTATCTTCCTGTATACTGTTTGTTTTGAAAATAATTTAAAACGTTAGACAAAAAACGCTGAATTTGATCTGTCAAATCTTTAAAACAAAAAAAGTTTTTAGAATTTTGGGTGGCAAAAACAAATATATATATGACTAAAGTATTTGAAGATGAACAGCTTAGTTTTGAAAAATACAAGCATTATTGCAGTTGAAGAATTCTATCAACACAGGTCCGTTTTTTTTTAATGTAGTCAAAAATATTTTTTACTCATACAGTAACATAATTACACAACTTAAAATAAAGCTATACCATAATACCGTAATTTATATTACAGTTTTTTGCTTTGTTCCAATCTGATAAGACTAGTGCATCAAATTTTAGTTTCCTAAAGGATAAAGGATGAATAATTCTTGTTGTCAGTAAAGTTTTTTTCACTAGTACAACAGATATTAGATACGACCCGAAGTTGGTGAATAAACTTTAGCAGCACGTAATGTGCTTAATAAAAAAACGTTCCAATTTTACATCAATGAAAATGTTGCTCAAAAGATTACATAACGATTATTTTCTAAAGTTTAAAATAATTAGACAGTTTAAAGAACTTTGAAGAGTTGTATGGCAATAAAAAATCAAAAAAAAAAAAAAAAGTAAGGGGTAAAAGGTGCAAGTAAAACTCCATCTTTTGTTTAACAATCCGAGTCTACGTCATTAACCTCATTTGTTTCTAGAATGAAAAACTTGTTGGTCAACAAAATGATCAGTTGTTCAACTGTTTCAAAATAACTATGCATTTGTTGAAGACTTCAAATTCAACTTTTAAATTTCGCGCTAATAGCTCCTGAAATAACAAGTGCATTTCTCTGATAGCTTTCTTTAGAAAATTATTTTTCTAAGTCTTCTACAAAATTTTTTGTAAAATGGTAACCTTTAGCTTACCAATTTTCACATTAGTGTTGTTTATTAAGTAGTAAGCTTTAATAAAAACTTAAAATATAGACAAACTTTATTGAGTTGTTTTCGAGACTTCCGGTCATTTATCTTTAGAATACACAGAATCTTTCAGCCGGCATGTTCAATAACATCATTAAAAACTTTAGTGCCTGAACTTTGTAGGGAGTATCAAAATGATTTTCATCTTTAGGCAGGAGCTTTGCTGACTGATCACTGCTGAAAATACGATTGCCTGAAAGCAACGGATTGACCGTAAGCAAGTAATCATAATTTTTAGCACAACTTTCAATCAACAACTATCATCAGGTCATTTTTGAACCAGACGTCATATAAAGGAACGCCGATAAATAAGGGCTTCAGGAAACATTCTGGTAGATCTTCGCGCAAAAAAGAATTTTGAATGCTCAAATCATCGCATAAAAAACAAATCATTTTTGTCGAATCTGTTACCGAATTAGGTCTGCCTTACATTTGGCTACGTTGTTGATTTTTTTATTGCTGTATGTTTAACGTCAAAAGTCTTCTTGGCTGACTGTTATTCTCATATCACAGATATAAAATAATGATTTTTCTGTGAAGTTTTTAGATTTATTAAGAACATAGTTAAAATCGAGGCTCACAGCCGTGTCTGTAATTACGTCAGAGTAAATGATGTTTATTTAAGAAACACTGGTGGAAATGATTCAAGAACTTTCTTCTGCTATTTTCTTAGGTTTAACATACGGCTTTCTTTTACGTGACGTGACAGGTTTAACTGAAGGCGGTAACTTTTTTATTATTATTGTAAACATCTTTCTTAGTTACTGAAAGCAAATGTTATTTGCATAATACCTTATAAATTCATATAGACTAGCAGACTTTTTAATCTATAATTGGAAGGAAAGGCAGATGAGTATTTTAAGAAAAATAATTAGATAAAACAACTTTTTTTTTTTACAGGTTCAAAGTGCGATGAACTAGAAGATGGTTTCTACACAGATGGCTGTTCGAGTAATTATTATGGATGCGCCAACAAAATGACCATTTATATGACCTGCCAGCCCGGTCTTTTTTTTGATGAAGTTGCTCAAACTTGTGACTACAAAGACAACGTTCCTGCCTGCAATACAGCCAAAAGGTATGTCTTTGAAGCGTGAGGATTTGATTCTGCTCTAATGTTTTCAGTAACTGTTATAAAGGTAAAGAAAAAAATAAAAATTTAGTCTAATTTTTAAAATTTTTTGCTTTTACGAAGGCTTCGTGCTTTAACATTTCTGAAGAATAAAGCGTCCCGATTAAACCGTTTCTAAAGTTCAAGCATTAATAAAGTGTAACAAACGTGTAAAAAAACTGTCTCATATTCTTGCAAATATATATGTATTTTTTGAGAATTATGCTGTAATTTTACTTTAACTTCATTAAGCATATTTTAATGTTATTTAATTCTGTCAAAAGTGAAAATTAAGAAAGTTTTACTCTTAAAAATCTTCAAATACGTTACCCTACTTGTTGTAGTTTGCAGGAAAACTTCAAGTGATATTACAAAATCTGCAATAGCAAGTATTAATTATGACTGTTTGAATAAGGAGGATAGCACGTATTCGCTTGGTCTTTGCAAGCAAGAATTCTTAAGCTGTAAAAACGGTAGAGCTGCAGTTGAGAAATGTAATGCAGGTTATTTCTACAACGTCGCAACAAGGCTTTGTACGGATTTGCTTAGCAATCCCTCTTGTAATCCTATTCCAATGAGGAATGAGGAATTTGAGACAAGAGGTTTACCAAGTGGGTAAAACTTCTTAAAGCATAGTTTCAAAAATCTTGCTGGCTTTTAAGTCAGTTTTTTTGAAGCAACTATCTGATGTTTAGGAGCAATCTGTGCAGAGCGTCCAAACGAAGTTGTGGCGTTAAGTTGTTCTTCAAAATACTATGTCTGTTCTAACAATCGGTTATCAGTCATGAATTGTCCAGAAAAAACCGTATATGATGCCGAAAGTAATAGATGCGATTATAAAACTAAAGTACGTGGATGCGCCAATTTAATCAACGTAATGGATAAAATAGAACGCTTCGAAAAGTAATTTCTCACAGCTTGGCTTAAATTTAATGATATTCATTAAAAAGTTTTACTTACCGAGTCCTGATATTGTTGGCTTTAAGCATCTATAATATGGCTGTCTTTAGCAGAGTATAGTATTCCAGTTAATGCTTTCAATAATCAAAGATAAAACTTCATATAATAACTTCTTTAAAAAAAAGCTGTTTTTTTTTGGGACATCTATACCAAATACTGTAACGTCTACTACTGCTACTATGACCACTAAGCTACGGACTATTACTGTTATTCGAAAGGATCCAGTTACTCCTGTTTTTGTAGAACCATCAAAAAAACGTAATTTCTTAAGGTTTTCTAGCAAAGAGATTGTTTTCTTTAGGTCGGCTTCTTTTATCTAAATTACATTACCACAAACTTTTTTTTTGTTTTTATAGGTTGGATTTTGTTTTTTTCTATAATAATATCTTGAGAACTTTTTATCTTCAGCATTGTTACTACGTATTTCTGCTTCTTCTGAAACTGCCAGTTCTGCTTTTTGTGACAACAGAGACGACGGTAATTATGCGATCGGAAAATGCGAGACCACCTTTATTTCTTGCTCGGTAAAGAATATGCCTGTATATTGGGTTAAATATTTTTTTTTGAAAATAATTGACATACTGATCAGACTTTAATTTACAATTTGGCAAAAGAAGGTGAGTAGTAGTAGGTTTCTGAATTACAAGTACTCACAAATCGCTCTTTCAATCGAGGTTTTTGTAAGTTTTTCGTATGAATTTGGCCATCATAAAAAGGCTGAAGGATGTCTGTGTATATAGCCTTTATCCATTTTCGTCTTTTTTATGAAACTTTAGTTTGTTCTTGCTTTTTACGAGTCTCTCATTACTCCGGTTTTAGAATCACATCGCAAGTTTGAGAAACTGTCCTTCCGAGCTCGTTTTCGACGGCGTAACTTGTGATTATCGCCATCACCTTGGTGACTGCGGAAAGAATAAACCTGATTCTGTCCAAAAAAATAAAAAGTCAGTTTCACAAACTGTGCAGTGTTCAATCATGGTGGAATGTCAAGAACTATCACTCTAAACCTGGACACAGCGTTTTTATAGAGCAAGCACCACACCAGCAGCTGCGAACCTTGCTACAGACCCTATAAGGCCTCTTACGCACTCTCCTGTAAACAGTGAAAAACCCGTGTGCGAGAATGGGAACCGTTATGCAGAAGGAAGGTGCTCAATTAGCTATTTCGAATGCGTAGATGGCGTTTTGGTCCGCCAGAGGTGCCCAGAACAGTATATGTTTGATCATTTTACAAAGAAGTGTAGCAAATCGAGTGTTGCTTGTTCGATTGAAGCTCTTGATAATCGACTTTTTGATGGACTTCCAAAAAACTGCAAGCCTGGAGAACTTGTAGAACGTGGTCAATGTATGAGTACATTTTACGAATGCGAACCTTCAGGGAGGTTTGCTTTAGTGTCGTGTGTCTCAGTAAGTTGTTTGAATTATTTGTCAAGAATTTAAGGGATTTAATTTGTCCACACCTGCTACGTATTTTGCACACCGCACTTTATTTTTCAATTTTCAAGGACCTGTTTTTCGATCCTGTTTTTAAACAGTGCAGGCCAAGAGATTTGATTCTTGATTGCGCTGAGGGTGTTGAACCTCTAGGGAGGAATGCGAAGTCCCGCGAAGTTGCTCCTGGAATTAATCCTCTCCTCAGTTCCAATGAAGTCTGTTTTCTCTATTCCAGGATTATTTAATTCTTAGTTTTGATGTCAAACTGATTGGTACAGTGCTTTTAATTAATCAAAAGACTTATTTTGAAAATGGCTTTTGCCATGCTGTTAAGAGCTTCAAGGAGCGTAAAAGAAGCGGCATATTTCTGTTCTTATTGTAGTTTGTCTTCGACGCATTTCAAACACCATTGCCTGTATACAGTTCCAATATGCTCAACAGCGACATAGACGGTTTTTCTGTGTATCCTTTTCCTGCCATTTTGTCTTCTCCCGGTATCAAACTTGACGAGTGTTAAAACATTTTGGCATTATTTATTTTGGTTTTTTTTGGCGTAGATTCCTTTCACGCTGTTGTACGCAACATTGCTCGACTGTTTTGAAATCGAAGATTCTGTTTAATGAATTTCAGTAATCTTAGTGGTTTAAAAAGTATCGTTTTGCTGGTTAATTCACGGTGTAAATAAGGAACAAAATTTCATGTTTTTCTTACTTTTATTTCCATTTGACTACAGGTAATTGCTTTGAAAGCTTTAGAACGTGATATTCACTTGCAGTTGAAGTTGGCGCTTCACGGTGTCCAGAAGGGTCCGATTGCCGAAGGAATTATGTCTACACGACAAGAATTAAGGTTGAATCATATGGTTCCTGAGTTGTATAATATTCTTTACAGCCAAAGATGCCCAGTGGGGTACATTATTACAAAATAGTTTGTAAAATAAAACCCGTATAAAAGTTACGTTTTTTTTTTCAGCGGACAGCAGAAAAATCTGCTTTTTCGAACGAAAGGGCTGTTCTTCCATCAACAGGTTGGTTTTTAAAACTAGAGATTTCGCGCTATCTCTGAGATAACTAAAAAACATTTTTTGTTCGTTTACAGCGAGTCCCAAGTTGCAGTTTTTTCTATTGTTTACGTTTTTATGGTAATTGGTTGAATCCTTCAGATACGCTTTGCTTTTTCGTTACTGAGGGCAGTTATGGTCTTGGCGGTTGTCGACGCGACTACATAGTCTGTTCCAAAAATAAAATGAGTTATTTTAACTGTTCTGTTGGTCTCGTCTACAATTCTAGAGAAAGGACCTGTGATTATCCTGAGAAAGTCGCTGCATGTGCTGGTCAGGTGCTTCTTAATCGGATTGACCTTCATGTACCAAAGAAAGATGTCTTGCAAGGTTCATTTTTTTGACAGATAGAGTAAAACTTGTTTCCTTCGCACTTTCTGTTTTACTTTTTCTTGGAATACTTCTTACTCTGCAACCACTTTAGAAAGGACGGGTTAAAAAGTGGGTAAAGCTTTTTATCGTATCGAAAGTCTTACAGTGTTTCTGCTGAACCAGTTTCTTTTTCTATTTTTTAATTCAATTTAGCTATTTCGAGTGGCATAAAAAATACCGGCGAGAAACCACTAATTGCGTCGGAATTTGCTTGTAAAGAAAGTGGTTTACTAGACATCGGGTGCTCGTCGGTTTTCATGGTTTGCTCGAACAGTAAACTTTACACAATGCAGTGTCCAAATGGATTATTTTTTGATAAAGTTAGTTTTTCCTTTTTGAATGCTGCCATTTAATATGTGTATAAGATTGCACTCAAGAAATTTTGTTTTCTTCAAACGTTTTGAGTCCGTATTTCTCGATTCCTACTTGCCAGCAAAAAAATGAAAAATTTTCTTATTGTTAAAATGGTATATGCTCGTTTTTTGGTGTCTAACTTTAGTTAGGGAACTACTACAACAAGCCAAAAAACTGTAGTGAATTTCCAACCGTGATGTTATTAGTTCGTGTAGTAGTGGTATTTACGACTCATCTGTTGCAGTCTTTTATGCTCGCTCTTAAGCGTCAATGATAACTTTAAGTTATTGCAATTCTCAATTCCTGGGGGTTTTTTTCTTTCAGAATTTTTAGGTTTTATGTTTCGCAGCCTTATTGCGATTCTTGATGTTTATTTTCTTTCTTATACATTGTTTTTAAACCACTAAAATTTGAATAAGTTTTTTTATTTTGAGTTCTTTGAGTCAAGTGGTAATATGTTAAATAATTGAATAAATAATTCACTAACTGTTCCTCATGTATCATTTTATGTCCTGTAATAGTACGATCACTACAGGTAAGTAATATACTGGGAGCTTGCTCATTGGAATTGTTTTCAGCAGAAGAAAGCAAACTATTTTCTTTTTCTGTTAATTTCTAGGCGCTAAGATATATCTTATCATATACTCGCGCGACGAATGGGATGTAAAATGTTTATCTCGTTTACTAAAGCCGCTAAGACACTTTCTCCCTTGGTTGAAATTAATAGGATTCTTTATAGGCAAAAGGAAGATGCGTTACTCGCCAGGAAGCTGAAAGATGTAGAGAGTCCGATCCAGGATATGCAACCAAGGTGGCGACCACAGATGAGGCAGAGGCTTACAAAGTCAAGCCCTTCAAAGGTTATAAAAAAGTGGGAGACTTCAACTGTGAACAGGCGGTGGATGGTATATATGGAAGTGCTTGCTCAGATTTTTACACTGCTTGTAAAGGTAAAGTTAATTGTTTGACATGTCAGACTTTGAGTGTGAAAAATACCTTTACAACGAATAGTTCTGGAATGTGTCGTGGAACTTTTTTTGATATACCATCTTCTAAATGCTGGCATCTAATACACTTTCAACAGTACTTTTAAAGATGTTTGTTGCTGCTATAATAAAGCAATTGTTTTTTGAGAATAACATTCCATACACGACTTAGAAGTAAGCAGAAATGTATCAACTTGGTAGTGAAATGACTCGCTTCTCAGACGAGGTAATTTTGAAAATACCTGATGTTTATTTTTTCAGATAATAAGGCTTTCAAAACGTTTTGTGCTGAGAATTTCAAATTTGATCTAACAGTCTCACGTTGTGTCCCTCGAGAATCCTGCGGTAAAATGAATGTTTTTGTGGAAGAAGTGGGAAGACGGATGAAGGCGAAGATTGCATTACTTTGTTCCACTTTTCGAGTTTTATATCCAGACCAAATAAGCTGCCAAAAGAATTACTATATTTGCAAAGACGTTGGTTTTTTCAATTCTGAATAGCGTATTTATCAGGCATGAATTAATTAGCCTGTCCTTGATTGATATTTACCTTCAGGGTGAAAGTGTTCTAATGAGATGTTCGGGCAACGAAGTTTATTCCGTACGTCAGAAGAGATGCGTGAGTATCAGGAGCTGTGGGAAGGATGAAGCCGCAGAAATATCTCACTTCTGTACTTCAAAAGTCGATGGTTTGTATAGATATCCTGGCAACTGCAGCCGAATTCTTCAGGTAAGCGAGAGAATGTTCATTTATCTAATGGTTTTTTAATGTCTGCAGAGCAGTTTCTTGAAATTCGGCAGCCAGTACTCTTTTGTCTTCTTTTCAGTGTTACAAAGGTGAAGGTTTTGAACACATACCTTGCTCAGAAGGCCTTGTTTTTAACGAGCGAAGTGGACTTTGCGATTATGCTGCCAGCTATCCTGCATGTTCAGTGGGTATAGCGGTTCAAAAAGGTACATGTCCTAATAGAACACTTTAAACTTAGTGATTGAGCTGGAAAGCCCAAAAAATTAAAAACGTGTTCTGCTTCTCTATAGTTACATGTAACTTTATTTATACGTGTATATATTCATATATTTATTTGTTTATTTGCCTTTTAGATTTAACTGTATCAGGTGACTTGTGCGCTGACAAAGAGCACGGTGAGTTTGGGGCCTTGAAAGAATGTTTTGAGGAATATTACCGTTGCGTCTGGGGAAAAGCAGTCAGGCTAAAGTGTCCGCAGGATACTGTTTACAATCCGGTCTGGAGTGCTTGTGACTATAAGCAAAATGTTGAGTCGTGTAAGTCAAAGAGTTATAGGTGATCTCAACCAATGTGCAAGACACGTATTTTTCTAGTAACCTGCATCTAATTACTGTCGTAATTCTAGTCGATCTAAAGAAGAATTAGCCCCGAAAATTGAGGAGGGAGTTCATGACATTTCAGACCAAAATCATTTTTCAACAGTATCTGTTTTTAAGAATGATTAGTTCTCAGGTGTTCCAAGTTTCACATGTTTATCTTTGTTAATAAATAAAATTGTTATCTGTTCCGAAGAATTTCCAGTTGTGTGACCCGAAGAACTTCCTTATGTTTTTTGGTAACCTTGTAAACTACGGTAACAGCCTTACGTTGCCAACCATTATTCTTTCATGACTTTGGACTTAAGAGCCCTGGAAGGTTCTGGTGTGTTCTGCTTCCCATGTTCACTGGTCGCTTCTTGGAAAAGCAAATAGTGGCACAGTGGAAAAGCAC